GATTTCGTGCAAAAACAATTGTGTTTTTCCAATTTTTTGCGCTGTCAGAACCACCGCGAGGTAATTTTACGTAGTCCTGTGAAGTTTTGTTGAAATCGGTTTAAAAATGTAGGAAATCCAGTCCAATATATAAACGTACAGACACACACACACACACACACAACCTGGGTTTTATAATAAGTATGATGACTTGTGATTACGTGTTAACAAAACCTTCGATAGCTGCCTAATATTTCTGTTTATCCAATTTCGCTCACAAGTTTTCGGTCAGGCATGGGCAACCACTTTTCAGCAATGGGACGCATTATCTATAGCTCATCACAAGGCAGGCCGAACTACTAAAAAATTCAACGTCATTTTTTAGTAGCTACCTCAGCTACTTTCACTACAGGACACCATATGCGTAAAAATATACCTTAGAAATGGTAGGGAAAGTTTTATTTTTTAGAAAATATTTTTCTAATTAAAAAATTGAATTCTTGGTAAAATTATATCACTAATGACAGTGTGTGGAATTTATTTGTAATTTATTCGTTTGAAAATGTTAATTCTTCTTCAGAGAAAAAAAATATTATGAACGTTTTTTGTTTCAAAAAGCAAAAGATGTTTATACGTATGATCTTCCTTAGTGAAAATTGCCAATGGTTTAAAATGCTGACAATGTTACTTTCCCCGAAATTTTGCAAAATTCAAGAAACATTATACTTAATCATTGTTTATGTCTGTGGTTATATATGAGAGAGTGTATGAGTGAACAAGTGAGAACGAAGCAAAACAAAATGTTAAGAAACGTTATTTTCGTTATGAAGTTTACCCATGAATGATGTCAGTCAGTTATGTGCCATGCGGGATACAAGCTTAGGCGATCATGTATCTTTCGGTACATGACTGATGAGGCAGATTTTTTCCCGCAGTAGGTTGCCATTTCTTTTTGCGGTAGACCAGTTGCCATCCAAAGCTATAGAACCTGGTCTGTCCTGCTATTTACCCATAGCTGGGGGGAGAAGAGGATTCATTCCTTTCCCAAGGGTATTAGCACGTAAGTGAATGTAATGGATTCAACTGGAATTCGAACTTGGCTCTCCGATTCCTCAATCCGAGCTGCTATCCACTACTCCACCGTTTGGAAAGTGTGACACCGAAATCCGAACGCGCATTGGATTAGTGAAATAGTAATTCCAAAAGCTAAGCAAAGTACTAAAAAAAAAGAAAATTTCGAAATTGCAATATGAGCTCTGGTAAAAAATGTATACTAAAGACATTAAGCTTATAACTTCCAAAAATTCATACACAGATGTCCTTAAGACACATTGCACAGTGGATAAAGGCGTTGGTTAGATCCAGTGACAGTTTGAGTTCAATACCTTAAGGCAGTGGAGAACTTGGAGAGGTGAGGTAACTGACATCTATGACATGGCGCATGGAACTAGAACAGTCTATCCCATCAAGCGAAATAAAGGGTTCAGTTTGACCTTTGCAACTACCTGAAGAAGGACAACGACCGAAACGTTGTGATAAATATGTCAACAAAGATGAGGACAATAGTCACAATAATATAAGTAGTGTACATAATACCTCATCTCAGAAATATAGACAAATACTGAAGAAAATTTCGTATGTAATATAAATCTTCCAGTATGGCAATTTTCTAACAGATGAAGAAAAAACTTGCAACGGAGATGTGGTTCTACAGAAGGATGCCATAACAAGAAAATTTCATCCATAAAATGTGAGAAACGATGACGGTTTAATAGAAAATAGAACAAAAATGACAATTCTACAGATTTACTAATTTCATAATGAGGAAAGAAGACTGGGGAAATCTGAGTCACAGAAGACGAAGAGAGGTAACCTACTTAACGTGTTTGTGTAAACAGATGGCAGAATGTGTTGTTTATGTCAAAATGAAGCAAGTACAGAAGTCTAAATATCTAGGAAGTGTTTTAACAAAGGATAGAAATTTTGAGACCGAAATCAGAAAGTAAATTTAAATAGAGAACGATAAATTCCAAAAGTTAAAGAAATTATGAAGAAACAAGAAAGAAAAGTGACGATCTGCTATGTGAAACAAGTCCTCCTATATAGCAATGAATGCTGAACAATTTCCTCGCTGAGGAATAGGAGACTTGAGTCATTGCCGAGAATACTGTGTAAAGAACGAGGTTTTAGGAAAAATGTAAACAAAAAGGACACATTTCATGGACATGAAGAACATCGAAAACGCATTGGAAAGGAAGATGCCTTCCAAGAGCTAAGCAAAGTATTATAAACAGGAAAATTTCGTTAAACACATAAAAGAGTAGTGCAATACCAGTCCTCCTCTATGAAGAAGATACTTGAAGCAACAGAAATGTGGTTCTACAGAAGGATGATGAGATTACATTGGACTGAATGTGTGAGTAACGAGTAAGTTTTAAGGAAAATGGAAATAAAAAGTATACCTATAATGAGAAAGAAACAGTTGAAATTTCTAGGATACATAGTGAGAAAAGAGGTCTTGAAGAATTTGACACTGATAACATGTCAATGGCAAGGGAGAGACAGCGTGCTACCTCCATGACCGTCCTGGGTATGACGATAAACTACATCCGGCAGCAAGGCCTCTGATCGGAAAGTTTTGAGGAACGTGTTGTTCCCAGGTCTACTCTGACCCGGGGTGGTAGCATCTGTTACGGTCCCAATTACGTGCAAATAATTAAGCCCTAATCTGGTGTCAAAATACTATGAAAGTATAAAAATTCATTTTATAGTAAAAATACCAGCAATACATTAAAAAAGGAGGTATTTCCAGCAATACATTCTTGTTAAAAAATAAAAATTATCAGCAACGCAATTTTCGAAAAAAAAAAAAAAATTACCAGCAATACAATTTTCGAAAAAAAAAAAATTAACAGCATACAATTTTGCAAAAAAAAAAAAAAAATTAACAAAAGTACAGTTTTGTAAAAAATAAAATTAAAATTACCAGCAGTAAAATTTTGTAAAAAAATAAAAAATTTACCAGCAATATAATTTTGTGAAAAAAAATATTAGCAATATAATTTTGTAAAAAAAAAACAAGCAAAAATTACCAGCAATATAATTTTGTAAAAAAAAAAAAAATTAAGGCAATATAATGTAAAAAAAAAAAAATTACCAGCAATATAATGTTGTAAAAAACAAAAAGAAATTACCAGCAATACAATGTTGTAAAAAAAAAATAATTACCAGCAATATGATTTTTGAAAATGAAAATCCCAGCAATACAAGAAATTACTAATGCTCCCATAAATGACCCCTAAGGATTTGATATGCCGCTCAGCAAACCTCCAAGACCAGCGAATTATCATGTGAATGAATGGCAGAACGAGGAGTGTCAGTCTTATTTTTTAAAAGACAAACGTTACTAACAGCTACTAGCGATAGGAAGTTGTGGAGAACCATGATCGGCCACTTCCACACATAGGAGAAATAGAAGAAGACTTGTCGAGGAGAGAGAGCGTTTGTAAGCGTGGGAAAAAAGAATGATGAAAGGAAGCAAAAACTAGAAGCAAAAAGGCCGGGCAAATGAAGAAACTCAACCCTTAAACAGCAAACAGACATTTTTCGCCGGTAGATTATGATAAAGTTCATCTTGTCGTCTAATGCGGGAATCTGTCGTCGCCAGTTTCTGATTTCAACTCCCCGGTCACGGAGGGCGGATACTATCAGTGTTGGGGTCTCCGGAAAAAAAAACCCCAAAAAACGTGGAAGCAGTGTACGCAGGTGCAGCATAATGGTCAAGTGATGGGGAAATAGTTACAGAGGCTGAGGCAATTTTTCCTATTAAATCACGTTCGAAACATCCGTTTCCTTGATGGAAAGGAGACATCAAAGGAACCAGAGAACTGATTTGTTGTTAATATTGCTGTTATTATTAAGATATATGATGTTGATGTTAGCGTATCCACGCCTCGTCATTATTAATGTAAATTATACTATTATTTCTATTTGTTTGTCGTTACAGTAATTTTTTTCGCGTGTACCTATAAAATATGTCAGGAGAAAGCGCAAACAAGAATAAGATAAATAAACGAATAAAAAATTAAATTATAAAATAACCCTTCTAAAAGAGAAATCGGAGAACAGCATTTTGGGGCCCACTTCCCACGATAGTCGTTTAAACACAAAGCGACAACGTAGGGTCGTGTATAAGTCCATATAATCAATGCCAGAAATTGTCCACGTGTTTTGGCAAATTCATTTTTTGAAACACCCCAGGTATTAAAGATTGATCCAGACATTACCCCTTTTAAGTGCAATGGCGTAGTTGCAACGTTATGGGAATTGTACTCAAGAACTGGACTCCCCATTCCCTCGGGGCTTTAAAACAAAAGCCGAAGGTGTTATATGGATAGTAGTTATACCCATCATTACTGGCGCACTTGAAACAGTCTCGAACTACCTTCCAAATAGGTTTGAACATTAATTGCCTTACTTCACGAGTGCATGTGGTGTAAGGGATAGCGACTCAGAATGCGAAGATGGAGTACAATTCGAATTCTAGTCGAGTTTGTGCTATTCACTTACGCGAAAACACACTTGAGAAATGGGAGAGCTGAGTTCGTTACATCCTCTTACGTTATGGGAAAGATATGAACCCACCTGTTCTTTTCCCCAGCTATGGGTTAAATAGCACGGCAGTCTTGACTCTCTCTTGGTTGGCTTGTTTAGGAGAGGGTCAGCTCTGAATTCAAAATCATGTTTAATAATGAATGATTATTTTTTTATGGCTTAACCATTTTATGGTTATTTAAAGCCAGAAAATATCCCCAGACTCTAAGAATTATTTTTGTTTAGATAATAATGATTTAGTGATACAAGTTTTAATAATTAAACCATAGATGAGTGAAGATGAGGTGTATTCGTACCTTTCCGTATTTGCGCGTAAATGAATCCGACGAACCCAAATGGAATTGGAACTCGGCTCACCGATTAACAATTGCAAACCATTATCCATTACACCACCCACACATCCAACCTTACAGAACCTAGTATTCCCAAGCGGTTTCCTATCAAGGCACTGACCAGGCTCGACGTTACTTAACTTCGGTGATCGTACGGGAACCAGCGTTTCGACGTGATGTGTCCGTAAGCCCCCAAACCGTATGTTGCCCTTTGACCAACTCACAGGTTGCTCATAGCAAGGAAGTACCAGGAAGCCATATCTACCAGGGCTATGGCAAAGATATCGACAGCAAGATGTTGGGTGTTGTACTCAATGGTGGAATCTGTTTGTTATATTGAACTGCGTTCATACTGGACAAGTGATGAAATCTAATTATTCCGTGTTGGATGGAAACTGTGGAAACATAGACTCACGACTTGTATCTCCTAATATATGCACAACCGAAACTTCTATGGTGACACATGGAGGCGTCCTGACGAACGATCTATTTAGTACGTTGTTTTACGGAATAAAAATTTCGTGTGTGAGTTAATGCCGGTACATGTAGATTTGGATTTTATCTTGCTTAAAAATTTTCCTGAATATGTATAAAAAAAAATTTAAATTAAGATTTTATTTTATATTTTTGATTTTAAGTTAAAAATTTAAAGATTTCATTTTTACATAGATAAAAATTTCTAATATTTTGTTTTAAATGTGTAGTTCAAATTTTTCTACAAATAAATAAATTTCTCAAAATTATGGCTAGATCAGTGGTTCACAACCTTTTTTTTACCCATGGACTCTTTTACCTTCTTTTTTTCTTGGTGGACCTCTTTTCCTTTCTTTTTTCTTTTTTTGGTGGACCCCTTTTCCCTTCTTTTTTTCTTGGTGGACCCCTTTTCCTTCTTTTTTTCTTGGTAGACCACTTTTCCCTTCTTTTTTTTAGTAGACCCCTTTTCTCTTCTTCTTTCTTGGTGGACCCCTTTTCTCTTCTTTTTTCTTCGTGGACCCCTTTTCCTTCTTTTTTCTTGGTGGACACCTTTTCCTTTTTTTTGTAGACCTTTTTCCCTTCTTTTTTCTTGGTGGACCACTTTTCTCTTCTTTTTTCTTCTTGGACCCCTTTTCTGTTTTCTTGGTGGACCACTTTTCCCTTTCTTTTTTCTGGGTGGACCCCTTTTCCTTTCTTTTTTTTGGTGGACCACTTTTCCCTTCTTTTTTTGTTGGTGGACCCCTTAATAGCTATTTGATATAAGACAACAATATTCTATTTTTCACTAATAAAAATTTGAGGTTTTAATAATCAAAGAAATATTATATAATTAAGCTTTATTTTTAAATGAAAACTAATTTAATGCAAATAAATTATTCTACAATAATAATAATAATATTAATAATTCGTATTAATCATTTTTGGTAGACGCCTTTTCCCTTTTTCTTTCTTGGTGGACCACTTTTCTCTTCTTTTTCTTCGTGGACCCCTTTTCCTTCTTTTTTTCTTGGTTGACCCCTTTTCCCTTTCTTTTTTATTGGTGGACCACTTTTCCCTTCTTTTTTCTTGGTGGATTAATTGCTATCTAATTGCTATTTGATATAAGAAATCAATATTCTATTTTTCACTAATTTAAAAATTTGAGTTTTTAATAATCAAATATTATATAATTAAGCTTTACTTTTAAATGAAAACTAATTTAATGCAAATAAATTATTCTACAATAATAATAATAATAATAATATTAATAATTCGTATTAATTAATATCTTGAATTACAATATTACAATGTTTCTTCCAAGGCCAAGGCCATGGGAAGCAGGCAATTGAATTCACTGCATCATTTATTTATTATATACACTGGTTAAAAAATTTAATAAACCAATTTAAGTGTGTCATGAGAAAAAAAAGGCATATTTATTCAATGAGATCCCTGCGGATGCTGCTGCTCAGCGAGTTTCTTTATATCTGGTTCCATCGATGTTAATGGTAGTCGAAGATCACCACTTTTCAAAATCTCAAGTTTATCGCAAACTCTTCATAACGGTTGAGAAACACGACTAAATCCCGACTCAACAAATAAGATGTTGGAAAAGCAATAACATAGCAATTAATTTTAAACATTAGGGATCGAAAATTCATTGGAGGTACCTATATAAAAGAAATAAAGAAAGAAAGAATCATTCCTATATATATATATATATATATATATATATATATATATATATATAGCATAATGAGAATCCACGTATACTTTCTTAATATGTATATATAGAAAAAAGTTGCAAATTAAAAAATAATAATGTACTTTTATGAAAGTATTTATTTATTTGTATATATATTTGATATTTCAGATTGGCCTCAATCTTTTTCGGAAAGATTTTTTAATTTTTATTTTTTAATTTGCAACTTTTTCTATATATATATATATATATATATATATATATATATATATATATATATATATATATATAACGATAAACGTGCAATCAATTTACAAATTCATGAATTATTCACACAAAAAACAAATGCAATGGTTAATGAGTTAATTGGCGAGAAATCCATCGTAGCAAACAATTCAAATAATATACAAAAAACCTCCGAACCTGTTATGAATGAAAAGATCCTTGTTTCTATAAATTTCTGCCACATTAGTTCTTATTTTTACTACAAGCTTTTCACAAATTACAGTAGAAATTCAATTTTTAATAATAAAAAACATTTTGAATTAGCTTTCTTCATGGACCACCAAAATATCATTGTGGACCCCCCAATTTGGTATATTTTGCCTGTGCACCCCCAGAAATATTACATGGACCCCTAAGGTCCATGTGGACCACGGTTAAGAACCCCTTGTATAGGTGATGATTTTTAGGCGCAGCTTAGATGTGGCACAAGACCAAAATTATGGAGTACCTAGTGAAGATGGAACTCACTACTCAGTTAAAATAGTTCTAGCGAGATAGGCTGGGTAATCATTACATTATGTCGAGTTACCCAAATTATCTGTGGACGGTGATTTTCCAAGCGTAGCTTAGATGCGGCACAATGCCGGAAGCATTGGGGATTCAAAGGTTTTTCTAAGCGCAGCTTAGTTGTGGCACAAGGCCAATATATTATGTGGCACACAGTGAGGATCGAACTCACTACTCAGTCGTAATTGTTCTAGCGAGACAAGCTTGCTAAACATTACACCACGCTGAGGCGCTCAAATTATGGGTAGATGGATTACAGAACAAAAAAATAAAAAAGAATATCTCCTTAGCTGAAGGTCAAATAAATATAAGCACAAACGATGTCAAATCATTGAACTTTGCCGAAAGCCTCTATTATTCATGCATAAAGAAATAAGGAACTTTCGGCCTCACAATTAGAGGATTTGATGGAAACCTGCGAACTTATAAGCACACATTTACTAAATGGACTGAATAATCGATAAAAATTATAGAGGTCTATACAAGATCTCATAATCCTAAGAATCTGTAATAGGAAAAACAGACAAAACCAGAAAAATAATCATAACGTTTATAACAAAACTAGAAAAATAATAACATTTTTTTAAATATGTGGCATTTGATATAGACATACAAACAAAATAATTAGATTTTCTAGATTCAAACTCAGCCGAAAAAAATGTACATATTAACCATAAAGAAAACAGAACGTCAAACTACTTCACATACACATATCTTCCAACCACCCAGTTACAATAATCACGCAGTTCCCAAAATCAATTAACAATTTGAAAATTATTCCAAACGAAACTATCTTCATCCTATTTACCTTAAGCTCTTTGATAAAATCCAAAGAAGAATCAGTAATAATATTATCGTCCTTGATCTGGCGACTCGGCTTTAGTAACTTTCTCACCGCCGTAAGGTTGCCGCTTTCAATAAATATTTTTATAGTAATTGTTCGGATGAGCTCTCCTCTATTGGTACCTAGACTTTTAAAATTTCAGCGCAGAACTAGGCTAGCGTCGAGATTACATCAATTTACAGTTGAGCTGGCTAGATGTAACCGTAAATTCTATGCTATCAGTTTCTTTGCTCGCACTTATCGCGTGTGGAACTCCTTTCTGGCTCCATGCTTTCCAGCCAACTTTAATCTGCAAAAATTTAAGTGCAATGTCAATCGCTATCTACTGTCATCCTGATTACGCTTTTTTCTTCCCACTCATTAGTAATGTTTCTGTTCCGAATACTTCCACACTCAATAACCCTTTGCGTCTTCGTGGCTTTATTGCCTTGTTTGGGGGGGGGGTGAAAACCGATTTTTAAAAGTGTGTAATAGATATAGAGTCTGTTGAGAGCTACATCTTCTTTCCTTACTTTCCTGTAGCTTGAAGGAGATTGAAAGAACTAGAAAGGCTAGAAAGTACCAAAAACATCCGGATAAGATCATTACTGAAATCAGCTCGAATACTGTGGAGAGTGCGGTAGTATTAAGGAGACTTTCTGTCACTTGATTTGCACTGAAAGCCACGAATAAGTTACTGTGTGAAAACACAGTAGTAGTAGTAGGAGTAGTAATTATTATTTTAACTAGTAGTATCTGCGAAAATTTCATGGTTTTCTTGTTTGAGCGTTCTGATGAATCATAATTATTAATTTAATAATTCTCCTATCTCCACTATTTACATTATTCGGACTATTGTCTTCATCTTTGTCGCCATATTTATCACAATGTTTCGGCCCTTGTGCGCTCCGGCCTTCTTCAGGTGGTTGGAATGTCGAACTGAACCCTTTATTTCGCTCACTGGGGTAGACCACCTGAAGAAGGCCGGAGCGCACAACGGCCGAAACGCTGTAATAAATATCGCAACAAAGATGGGGACAATAGTCCGAATAATGTAAATAGTGTACATAATACCCCATTTCAGAAACATAGAGAGATTCTCCTATCTTATCATTAAATATTTGAACTTAACAAATTTAACAAAAGTATGAATATAGGCTATTATCTAAAGAAGTAAGAGGGTACAAATGAAAAAAAATCAAAATTGAAAAGTTTCTCCATTTCACTGAAGCAGACATTAAAAAAATGAGAGCATTATCATCATTTATCTTGCCTTTTTTTGTTTCTTTAAAGCCAAGCTGAGTATCTGCTATATCTTTATCTTACGTCTTAACTCACAATCAAAATGGAATAATGGCCCATTATTTATCTTATTTATGATTATTATTATTAGTAGTATTTATTTGTTTTCAATCAT